GATCCCAGCGTAGACGAGGAACAAGGTTTGATCGACAGCGAAATTAACCAATTCTGTTGAGTTCTTAGTCATAACTGAATAATTATACCTGATTCACCCGAGAATCTCTCAAGACCATTCTAGATAAGACCTTAACCGTAGTCTTTCATAGACCTGCAAGTTTAACGCATGATACAATAGTTACGGGGAAAAGGAGGGACTCGAAGCGAGTTCATCTGAGAACTAGGAGGTTTGGATAAGTTGCTCAAGAAAACACTGTGAATATGTTCATGCTTCGGTATTTCTGGAAATTCAGCTTAACACAATCGATGGACTCACCGGCACAATAGAGTGTAACTATGTGAAAACTAAAGCGACCATTCTGAAAACATAATTGTTACATCTGTGTGTATAAGTGTGCGAAAGTATGTAAGGCTGCGCTTTGGATATTGCCGTAAGGTAGCGCTTACTTGAACAAAAATTATTATTAGTTATTATCTCATAGCATTTCCTCAAACTTTTGTCAATTTATTTCGTTTTTTTTTATCTTTTATCTGCTTTATCACGCATTTCCTCTTACATCGCTTCATAAAAGACTTAATAACTCAACGCTTATGCGGTCGCATACCTTTGCAGCCACCTCTCCTCCTTTCCATTTCCCTTTACAACGCAGCAAACGCGCTCGCTCGCGAGTATTTGCTACAGTTATCTTCCGCGCTTTCTTCGTCTGTCAGTTTGTATTTAGTTGAGATTGTCGACTGATGATAATATACCAATTTGGTTAAGTGGCCCTATGCAGCAGACTCGCAAACACCACTGCTTTGCGTTGGCCCAACGCTTTTGCTTTTGAGGTTGCTCATACCACACGTTGTACATTCGGCATCGGGCAACGAACTTTACGAAACACTACTATTTATTTAGTTTTCCGCACTTGGTTGTTTATTTGCGCTTGCGAATAGTAATGTGTATGTGACTTTCAGCTTTTAACTTGGCGTCGATGAAAAGCAGTCAAAAGGAAACGCCGCATTTATGTATATGTATGGCAATTTATACATATATGTACATATGTATGTAGTGGTAAAATTTCGTAGAGTGAAAAGGCTATTCAGCGTCGTTGTTGGTTTTTATAAGTACGTCTGCTGTTGTTTTTGTTGCTTTTAGTTTTGTAGCTCTTAAAATTTCACTGCTATGCGTCAGCCAATATTGCGGCTGGTCAGTGGAGAGGATATGGCGTTTGTGCTTTGCCCGGGCAATTAAAATGATGAATGTCTGTTATTTGCGTTGAAGCCTAAATGAAGTGGTTTCGTCATGCACTCGAGGCGGTTTTTCTTTGTTTTTAGCAAATACGCGTTCCGCTATGCTCAGCAAATAGGGCTGTGGAGCATGCTTTGACGCCAAAAACTAGAATATTCGGAAATTTTACGAGAATGACGCATGTTTTTTATTTATATAAAATAAAACATATAAAAACTCATCAAAATCTCCAATAGTTTGGCTTTAATCAAATTTGTTAAGTGAAGCTACTAAAAAAAATACATAAATGTATCAAATAAAAAATGTCGGCGGTTAGGACAACATTTCGAGCATAATAATAAGTAACCCGCAAGCGTTTTAATTATCTACATTTAGTCCATGTAGACCGCACCTGGTAAGTCACAGAAGACGGTGGTTATAATCTTTCCACTAGATACGACAGTCTTCGCCTTTTTAGAGCTGATTGGAAAGGTGACATTAACTATTTAGACTGCTCCTTGGTCTCGGGCATATAACGGGATTTTCAATAGAAATGCTACAAAAGTAGATTAATGGGACCATCAAAAGACGCCAAAGTTTTTCCCGTCTCTTTAACATTTCTCTTCAGTAAGATTTGTCATTTCATCATGGAAAGATATACGACCGCACAACTAGTCGAAATTATTAAAATTTACTAGCGAAACTCGGAGTCAGTGGCCACAATTTTAAGAGTGAATTTTTCAATAAGAGTGCTACAAACGTTTTTTTAAACGAAACAAAAACGGTTTGGGATATCAATGAAATTATCTATTCCTCTGAAAGGACAATCATACGTTCTCCATTAGTCACAATTGCTTCTCGCGCGTACTTCTTCCGTGATGATCAAGAGCGGCACGTTACTGTGAATGGGAATCGTGACCGTTCAATGATAACCGAAAATTTTTGGCCCAAATTAAATGATATGGACTTGGACAATGTATGATGCCAGGACAATATATGATGTGAGGCGAAACAAGCCTCATAGCGAATAGCACACTCGCTTTATTGAAAGCCAAGTTTGGTGAATGTGTTATCTCACGAAATAGCCCAGTCAAATGGTCGCCTGGGTCGTGCGATTTGACGTCTTTAGTATTTCATGTGAGGACACGTCAAGTCTATGGTCTATGCTTACAAACCAGCGACAATTGATGAACTCCGTACGAATATCGAATGTAAAATTACAGCAGTATCGGCCGATTTATACTTTAAAACCGCCGAAAATTGGGTTCAGAGTCTAAATTCAAAAGAAATCGTGTTCCATACATAATGGCAACAAATATACTTTCACAGGAGTAAAGAATTTCATTGATATCCCACACTGTTTTTGGTTTGTTTAAAATATTTTTTATAACTTTTTATATTATTATAAAAAACAAGTTACAAGTGAATCCACGTCCTCTTTCATCGGACCCCTATACCGTAACCAGGGGTTTTCCTCAAGGTTACAACACCCAAAGGAAAACGCAGATATACCATAAAGTATATACATATACATATTCAACTTAACAAGCTGAGTCCAATTAAGCATGTCCGTCAGTTTGTCGTTCTGTACATACCCGTACTTGTTCCTCAGTTTTTGAGAAATCGATTTTAAATTTTGCATAATTTTCAAGAGGCTACCTATTTGCTGGAACCGCTAAAAATCAAGTTCTTGAATGGAAAACTTTTTTATTTGATTTTGATATGATCTCTACGAAATTTAGCATAGAATAAGACCCGAAGCAACGCAACAATCATCGCACATATTAGCGGGACACTATAGCAGTAGCTTTCATTCAAAACAGACATTAGTATACCTTTTTATACTATTGTAACAATAAGAAATGAGTCCGGTTCAGCCATCGTTAATGTTTTTTCTTGTTCCAAGAAATAATCAAAAAATTTTCTTAAGTTTTTGTTACCCATTGTTATCTTCAAACATACTCCGATAAAGAGAAGAGAACTTATGAAAGACTTGTGGTATGTAGCATTTATTAGCCAATAATTGACTTTTCTCTTTTACTTTCTTAATTCCACCAACAAATGGTTCTTGCTAACAATAATAAATTTCGCCAATTCACTCGGTTGCACAATTAATGAAATGGTCCACCTCAAGCCAGGTATAGCAAAAGTTTGCTTTTCAACTATTCGCTTTTCAATATTTCACTTATCATTTAATTTATTTTGCCCAACAAACTTAATCACTCGGTCAAAAACTTAGCAATCTTACTAAATAATTACAACAAATGTGCATGCTTTGGCACTAACTGACACTAATTGCTGCCACAATCAGTTATTGCTTAAAATCTTGCAGAATTGTGTGCACTTTTTTCTATTTTATGAGAAAAGGAGATTTTTCTGTTTTATGCTTACAACTTAGGCAACAAACAGCCAGGGCACAGTCAGTAATTGCCACTTTCTGTAATTTCCGTTAAAGTTTATTACTTTCATTCCTTAGTTGCAGCAGGAATTGCCAACGCGTCGCGCTAATTAACAGTCATGAGCGCAGCAATGTGAGGCATAATTAAGAAAGGAGTGAGCCTACACAGTGCGGTTGTTCTGTGCGTAGAGGAAAGAAAACGAAATAGTAAAAAAATTAAAGGAAAGAAAAGAATAGAAAAGCCGTGGAAAGTAAAATAAAAAATAAATGGAACGGAAACACTAACCAACTGCCCTAGGAGTGTGGCAGCGCCTTGGACGGCAGTCTCGCACGCTTTATTGATGACTGGCGACTTTAACGTCCTAGCCGTGCCATGTCACGGTGAATAATTGCTGGTGTAATGAGCTGGAAGAAAATATGAAACAATTCAAATCATTATATACATATATTATTTGCTCCTACTGTAAGCATTTTCCATATGCCAGGCAGTTGGGAATTTTCTACAATATCACTGCCTTAATAAAAGTTGTGCTATAAACATAATTTTTCGTTCATCTCTCACCTCTCTGCTATCATTAACAATCGCTCACCTCTCACCACTTGCCGTTCACCTCTCTCTCCTTTCTATTTATTTTTCCTATTTCTTTGTGTCGCATTTTTTATAAATCGCAATTACTTTTTGCAGCTGTTACTTTTATTTTCCGAGCAGCACAATAAAATTGCTTGTCTTCCCCGCGCAGTTCCTTCATTACGCATACTTATTAGTGTGAATTTGTCCTTGCGCTGGTCCAAGGTTTTCCACTCCTCAAATAATCTGCCGTCACGGTTAGGAAGCTTATTTTGTGTTGTTGTGTTGCTAATTTTCAATTCATAACTGTTTGCAACACGTCTGTATGTCGCGGATGACTGGAAACTTTATGTCCATATACGTTTAGCTATACGTTGAGATTTCATTTTATTAATATAATAAAAAATCTGCAAAGACAACGTGACTTGAAATACAGTTATTTAAGTGTGACTTAAACACAAACAGACCAACATCCTTATTTTCGTATTATAATATAAGCATTATCTGGAATATGTTCCATGAAGAGTGGAATGTGATGTATCTCACAAAAATTTTCCTTCTACTTTAGATGGGCTTTTACCTACCATTCGAATCAAAACAGGCCTTCGGTAAATACTTCCATATCCCTTTCTTAGACAGACATCTTAAATTTGAATTTGTAGTTATATTGAATACGCCTGGCCGGCAGATCATGGGGATGCAAGCCAAGTATCATTAGATCGCTGTATACCATGATAGTAAGGCCTATTGTCATCTAAGGAGCGGCTGCCTGGGCTATCAAAGCAGCTGCAAAGACTTGCATGTGTCTGTGCTTCAGGGTCAATGAGCACATGTCCCACGGAGGCACTGGAAGTCATGCTAGAGCTCACACTGCTGCATCAGGTGATCAAGCTAGCAGCAAAGCACATCATGCTGCTAATGTCAGCAGAAGGCTGTGGAAGAGGAAAGGTAATGTCCTCTAGACAAATGGACGAAAATAAACTTCAAGAAGAATTTCAAAGTCACTCTAGGCAGCAAGACGGTGTGGAGTAATTCCGCGCTGGAAAGGTTGCTGGAAGACAGCACCATTCAGTGGTACACTGATGGCTCAAAAACACCGGAAGGTATTGGGGCAGGTATYGCGGGACCGCGTACCAAGCTGTCCATACCTATGGGCAGCTTCCCAAGTATCTTCCAGGCTGAAGYTTTTGCCATCAGTCAGTGTGCTGAAGTCAACCTCAGCCGCAACTATCATAACCAGCGTATAGCTATTCTCAGTGATAGTCAAGCGGCACTAAAAGCGATCTCATCCTACGAGACCAAATCGCTTCTAGTCGAGGAATGCGTAGAACGGCTAAACCGCCTGTCTTTGTGTAATCGGGTGCATCTAATATGGGTACCAGGGCACAAGGGAGTAGAAGGTAATGAGAAGGCCGACGAACTGGCCCGCTCTGCAGCAGTGTCAAAGATGTTGGGACCGGAGCCATACATAGCGGTAGGACCCCACACTCTCAAAGAGCTGCTCCGCACGGAGGAGAGAGTGGAGAGAGAACGGCACTGACGACAGGCAGCAAGTATGCGCCACACCAAGCTGCTTCTAGGAGGATACAACCTCAACAGATTTAGAGAACTAATTCACCTCCCCCGTGAAAAATTCCGCCTCCTCGTCRCAATCTACACAGGGCATTGTAAGCTCAGGAAGCACCTGTCCAACATGGGCATTGTCTCCTGTGCTAACTGCCGATTCTGCGACCTGGAACAGGAAACACCAGCACACCCAATCCTGGATTGCTCAGCAATCTGTGGAAAAAGGTTTAAGGCCCTGGATTAAGCTTACATCAGCAGGGATCACATCACCTCACTAGCGCCCGGCAAACTCCTAGAACTATTCAGGCTGCTGGGGCTCTGGGAGGTCATGTGATATAGGAGAGGACGAAATAGACCCTAGGTCGCGGTGCATTACCTCAAATCTTATATTCTATTCTATATTCTATATTGAATATGTATAATAAGTATAACTTCCATCCAATTCTAAAAATCTTAAGGTTCAATTTTAGAGCAAAATTAGATGCATTTTGAACGTGCCCTCAAATTGTCTTGTGTTTGAGACATCGTTCCAAGCGCTACCAATTGGTCGGCAACTGACTAGAATATATGCGCGAAATATTTGAAACCAAAATGTGTTTAATTTACCTTCGTTGTAGGAAAGATCTAGACATAACAGATTTATACAATTTGAATTTTGTAATTACTTTAATTTTACTTCAAGAAACAATTGTTGATTTCATGTTTCTTCACAAAACCAGCTTTACCATATTGCTACAAAAAACACAAATAGCTCTCATATGTCATAACATTTTGGGTAATATAAAGGCTTGGTTCAGATCTGAATATTTGACAGCTTACATTGAGTTTGTGTGGGACCCTTCAACTTATATAAAAGAAGCCTGCATTAAGACCAGATTCGATAATAATGAAATAGGATTCCTATTATTGTATTATGCTGTGAGCGGGCAAGCAAAATGTCTGATCGATAAATATTTTGGATACTTGAAAAGTGAGGTTAAGCATCCTCAAATTAGTTGTGAGATCATAGTTAGTGATCTACGAGACAATATCGTTTCTTTGCGTGGGTGGTATTTAATCCTGCAATATATATTGACATAAATATACTTATTGGCGACCTTTTCTAATTTAAATTTCCTCTACAGTCTTATCCTTACTAAAAATAGACTTTCTCTCCATTTGCTTTTCCCACTTAAATGACGTGCAAGCTGCAACTGCAATATTGCTGAAGATGTTTCTTGTCGTAACTGTAMTTTTTATTTCGAAGCAAAATAGAGTAACTTTCTCTAACTTTATATAATACTAACACACTTATGCCCAACTTATGTGCTTTCTTTAAAGTTTGCAAGAAAATTTCATGAACTCTTTTGTACTTATTTCGTTTTTTTTTTTTTTGTTTATTTCAAGGACACTTAAACAAATTGGATGCGAAAGCGCTGCACGTGGAAGCACAATAGAAGCGACATCCTGCTGCTTGTAAAACGGGTTTTACGAATTCGGAAAAAGGTTACGGTAACTAATGAACAAGAGTGAAGCGAAACTTTCGCAAATTGCTAAAGAAATGCATTGAACGTGTGTAACATGAATAGAACACAGTAAGTTTGTGGCAAAAGAGAGTTCGAAAAAGCCGTGTTGCATGCAATTTGTTGAGATTACAAAGATAACAATGAGCACACGTGCCATGCGTTAGAATATGTGTGAATTTGGATTACGGTTGAGCATTTAGAAAGTATTAAAACTATTGTACATATATACTAACGGTCAAGCGTAAGCGCTGTGCTACACAAAGATGCTCGAAAATATATATTAGTAGTGGATCAAGTGGATACCAAAGCTTAAACTATAAGAGGGTCCGTGAATGTGAATGAGTGCGCATTGCGCCACCAGAAAACTTCGCGATTTAGCTGATTAATTTTAGTTGGATCCAGACATATTCCCACAAAGAAAAAGTATACAAACGAATTGTGGTCTACTCCCTCCGTGGTCGGTAAAACGCGCGCCTCAAAGTGCATTTATTCCAGCATACCATGTCCTCGATATCGGCGCAGGGCGTGGTCGAACGTGCGTCCGCTGAACTCTCGAAACGCATTAACGGCCTCGGGCTGCGTTCGAAGCATCATCATGGCAGCGGCTCCAATTCGTCCACGTCCTCCTCAACACAATCCGCTACTTCATCGGGTGGCAGTAGCGGCAAGACCTCAGTAATGGAACGCGTCACAAACGCACTTTGTGGCGGTGGAAATAGCAATAACAACAGTAACAATAGCAACAACAGCGGTGCGAATAACAGTGCAAACAACAGCAATCCAGCTGTCACACCAGACAAACCAACACGCGGTGGCAGCGGCACTAATAGCGGTACACATACACCCACAGGCAGTTTGTCGACACCCGCTAGTCCCACACTACCACATACAGTGCTTATCGGTGCTGGTAATAATATGCAGTTATTGCAACAACAACAGACAGCACCACAAGCACAACAGCCGCCGTCACATCCGCATCAACATTCGCAGCCGCCAGCACCAACACCGCCAACACCGTCGCAACATCCATTACAGTCACAGATTGCCAGTTCGACGCTGGTGAATTCCAATTCCAACATGTTGGGCGGCACACCGCCGGTGCTTGGTCATCCTCTGGGTGCACCACCAGCGCCCACAGTCAACTCGATTGCCAAGCAAATGAATATCACCATACCCGGTCAGCCGCAATTCAATACCATGGGTTTGGTGGCAGCACAAAAATCGGTTGCCAATCAATCGGTGAGCGGCGGTACACCGTTGCAATTGCGCAAGCATCTACCCAATCCACATCTACATCATCCGTACGCGAGTGGGGGTGTGGGCGGCGGTGTTGCGGCCGTCTTGCCGTCGGGCACGGCGGGCAGCGCTTCAAACGTTTCACAACTGGCTGCTGCCGTTACACAGTCTGCGCTGATATTACACAAATACCCGCCTCCGATTACTAGCATTGAGGCGTTGTTGCTTGACGATCGTTTTTTGAATCGTTTTTTACTTTACTTTTCCTCGTACGAACGTCGCACGTTAGCGCAGGTGTGCATGAAATGGCGCGACATACTTTACCGCAGCCCGCGTTATTGGTCGGGTCTTTTGCCGACCTTACAGTGTCGCGAGCTACGTCAAATACCAAGCTGTGATCGTGTAAAACTGTATAATTCGTTGATACGTCGTGGTTTTCACGCGCTCGCGTTGGTCGGCGCCTCGGATGAGGATGCACTCGATGTAGTACACTCATTCCCACTGGCATCCAAACATATACATTCTTTGAGCTTACGCTGTTCATCGATCAGCGATCGTGGACTAGAGGCATTGTTGGATCATCTGCAGGTGAGTGTTAGAAAGGAGTTTTAAAAAATCTTCAGTTTAATAAACTCAGTATTACATATTGACATTTCTCTCCAGGACGATATCTCTAGAAAATGTTTGTTGGCAAAACTCATATCATTAGTCTTATTAAAAGAGAGATGGAGTCTTAAAATATTATGGAATTTTTACAGCCAATGAAGCTGGTACATATTTAAGACTAGAGAATGATCGTGCCGCCCATGTTTTCGATCAATATGCATAGTTTAGTATTTTTTTTGAGTTAAATACCCGAGCTATAAGTTACAGTTATATCCCTTAAATAGTTAAAAAATCGTTTTAAGCATATAACAAATGTATTGAAGCGAATGAGAATAGGTCTGGCATTTTAGAGATTTCAACCATACTCCACTGAAGGTTAAACAGTCAAAATTTAAACAGTCGATGAGAAAGAGGTCCCTTTCTCTCTTTCCTTTCCTGCCAGAAAACTTTAAAAACAAGAATATTATTAGTTTCCCATCAAACCTCTTCAACTGGGACTACTTCCTTTGAGCTCTCTGGTCTTTCTGAGCCGCGGTTAATGCTAGATCACAAATGGACATGCAAGCATATCGTGGTTTAAGTTCTTCTTCTTCTTTGTGAAAGTAAACATCGCTAACGCGGTTATCGTCGAGTTGGAGAATCCGAATGTAGCCAGGTCCTTCTCCTCCCTCTTCTCAACGGGGTAGAGGTCCTTCTCTTCCTATATTTGCCCCGGCCGGTACTGCGTCGAATACCCTCAGAGCTGGGTGCTTTCATCCATTCGGACGACATGACCTAGCCAGCCTATCCGACTCTTAAATTGCTGAAGTATGTCAATGGCTGTGGTATTCGCCGTTGCCAGTGCGCAAGGGGCCATAAATCTCATGACTAAGCAGACGTTGTTATCATCCATATATACATAGAGACTTGTAGAATTTAGTCTTTGTTTGTCGAGTTTTTGATGTTAATTCTGGTTACAGAAGAGGCGAAATTATCTAAGATATCGAAGTTATGATTGTCAACAGTGACGCGGGAGCCAAGTCGTGAATGCGAGGACTGTTTGTTTTATGACAGGAGATGTTTTGTCAATCTGTCCAATCTGGTGAAAGCTGAATTAATAGCACCGTTGAGGCAAATGATATCAATATCATCTGCGTACGCGAGCAGTTGTACGTTCTTGTAGACAATTTTGCTTTCTCTGTTCAGCTCTGTAGCTCAGGAGCTTGGTATCGCACGGCTCACATCCAGGCTTTAAGGTGGATGCATAAGAACTTCTCAACAAAGTTCCTGAGGGTCTGGATAGCCGCTTCTGACGTATAAGCCCATTCTAAAAGTTTGACCTTCGCGCAGCACCTCATACGGCAAAGTTTTCCAGATCCTTAATTTTGGATTGGCACCGTTGCCCGGGGTCACTTCGATTCCACCGCGACCGTTTTGGCTTGACATTATCGTAAGTGACTTGCTTTACATCAACACTAACTATTAACTTCAGAAATGATTAGATTAAAAATTAGAATTATTAAGAAACAATTGGACCATCAGCATCATTAAGATCGGTGGAATAAAAAAAAAAGCTTTCACCAATCTGATTTTATGTTTGGAATATTTTTTGTGCTAGGTTTCAAATCCTTAAAAAAAAAGTTACGTAAAGTTGGTGGCAATGCCGAACATTTTGTTTATTTTACAGTTTTTTGTTAACAAACATATCCTTGAGTGCTTTGAAAATTAAACTGAGTTGGCCAGAATATCGGATAATATCGCGCAATTCCGTGAGCTTTCACCTCAACGCTGCTGCTTTCGCAGTGCTTTGACCTTTTATGCGCACAGACGCGAAGCTATGTTACATAAACACATAAAAATACCCTAATAAGCACTCGTTTGCCTATATACACACATACATAAGTACAGTTAAGTACATAATTACTCACTTATTGTTTGCCTGCATGGCCACAGCCGTCTGTTCAAGTATATGGCGTCAACTTGAAATATTTCGCTAAAGGCGAACAGGCGCACACATACATACGCGCGATAATGAGTGCTTGTGTACCAATAAGTGCGGATGCAGGCTATGAATATATCTATATCTACATATGCTATGTGTTTTATAGCCTGTTGGTGCATAATTTAATGGGTCAACATGCTTGGCGGCTTGTCATGCGCTGCTTTGGTCGCGAGGTCCTGCGGTCGACCAACACATCATTAACAAAAGCTGTGTAGCTATGCATGTAGTTATGGATATATATATAGATGAGTGTGTCAGCCCACAAGGACGAACGTCCGAAACAAGCTAGTTTGTAAATATTTGAGTATTTAGCACTGTGTCTTTACGAGGGTTGTCTTTTATAATTCACGATTAGAGAACAAAAACAAATATTAATATACGAAAAACTATTTTTTGTGTTTCAAAATATTCTCGAAATGCAGCTGTTTCAGTTGATGTGTGAAAGCTCGAATTGTTGTGGTGACGAGTGTTGGTTTACCTGATTTCTTGAAAGATAGTTAGATAGATAAATAAATGAGATTTGCACCGCAATCCCAGGTATATTGTGCCCTTTCCTAAGTCACAACGACTCACGTCGTCCCAGTATTTTATAAATTCCAATATACTGCTATGTGCTATTGAGGCGATGTGATCGCTATTTGGAAGCATGGATCCAAGGGCCTTTATACTGGATCCGTCAATTAGCAGGTGTGACAAACAAATTGTTATGTATCACTCTGAATTCGTTGTTCTGCGTTTTTCTGGTTGTATAGTTGCCACATATGCATTGCTTCTAAAAGACAGGCAATTATTACCTTGGAAATATTTCGTGCGCGAACAAGGTTTGTTTGATTCGGCTCATATTCAAATACCCATACACTGATCTGTTCTCTTGGGAGCGTACGCGTAAATCCACGATTCATCAGCTATCCCGAAGTCATAGAGGTGAAGCATCGCTATCGAAGTTTTTTTAAATATATCTCGAGCAATTAACATGAGCCTTGTTTGAGAGATTGAGAAATTGTGTGGGATCTAATGTGAACACATTTTCGTACAGTCAACATTAGTTCGTTTTAACCCATAAATTCGATATTATTTTGTTTTGGCTCACCCTTGCATACAATTATATATTTGTCCTTACACGCATATAGTTACTGCCGCATTTTACAACAATAAGCATTAAAATTTCAAACGAAACAACAAAAAAATATGAAACTTGAACAGACCGGAAACCAGCATTGGCTCCTACCCACAATCACTGCAATAATAATAACAGTAACTAAGAAGCCTAGAAAAAGCGTTGCTGTGTAACCACAAAAGCGGCGGAAACGGCTTAGAAAAATGGCAGCGGCACAACAGAGTTCAGCAACAATAATCGTGTATACTCGATTTTGTACATGCGAAGGCCAGCATTTCCGGTCGCCATCAAAAGTTGTTCTGCAAAAGTTGTTTAGTAGTGCGATGGCATAGTTTTGTTGTTGCCAATTTGCGATTTCAAGGAGCGTGCACTATAAACGTACATAACTAATATAGTGTGTTGTTTTTTTTTTTGTTTATGAGCATTTTTGCTGTGCTGTATGGGTTCATGTTTAGTATTGTTTTCGCGGTATTTTTCCACCAATGGTTAATTGTGCGGTTTTAGTCATAAACCTTGCTTAAGCATGGTCATCAAAGTTCTATAATTGAAAATATTTGATGGACAGCTACATGGGACAAATAATACGTCGTAATTGAATAGTTAGATGCTACAACTATCAATTTAGAGATTTAAAACTTCGGTTTAGAATTATCAGAAATTTAAAGGTTGTCTTTGTTCTCAAGAAAGTTGTGGCAAAAATTTTTGAATATGAAATACCAATTCTGTTTTCTTTTAATTTTTACTCACACCAGAAAATTAGCACGAAGTTCCTAAGTTAAATTTGTTTAGACTTTATAGGAAGCAGTTTTCTATGATAATATACATATTTATTATTTGTGGCTTTTTCAAATCTTCACATTATTCTTTACCATAAGTTTTTCAACCCTTAAGTCTGTTCAAAAATATTTTCCAAATACCAAAAGATATTCTCGAATATTTCCTTCTCTTCAATGAAGGAACGAAAAATCTTTTCCTATTTCACATTTAGCATTGCTTTTATTATTTTTAAATATGATTTGAAACAATCGTGGTCAGTAAACTGCTTCTAGATTATTATTCTAAGCCAGTACAAGCATACTATTAAGACAATATCTCATATATTTGCTATAAAACTCAGGTCGTATGGCATTCAGTGTCTTAGGTGAATTTTCGTTTTTGTCGGTTCCGGCTTATTTTTGAGGGCAGTTCTAATCCAAAGTCCAGACATTTTATATCAGATTATTATTTTTTTCCCGTCGAAATAGAATGCTGTGGTGTAGAAGTCTTCATCTCATTTAAAAATTGGTATTTAAATTATTATAGGGTCCAGCCATTTGATATCTGAACCGTCTAGTTCAATTTGACATCGTGTACTAAGCCTCAGTGATTATCGTTCTTAAATGGACTAAGAATCTTGACTTGGTGAAAAAAGTCTGATGGGAAAATTTATAATTGATCTTGTAGTTTTTGGTTCCATACAAATTCGATAATTTAAACTTTTCTTATGTACCAATGACTACGCCTTTATTTGCAAAAACATAAATCATATCGGACGTAACAGAAAAATCGAAAAGAGAATACTTTAGTTTATTTGTTTGGTATAGGAGTGCAAACAGATCACTTTCTAATTGGCTGCAATGTCAGCAGAAGAGATTATAAAATATCATGCAAATGCAAGGCTTTGTGCAGGAGAAAATCGCAACTATTGGCTGAGGGTTTCTTTAAGACCTCTCTCGGGCTTCCACAAATAATTTTTTTTGTATTTATGAACTTAATCAGCAACACAGGGTGGTTCAGAGAGGACGTAATGGAGTGAGCGTCATTTTGGCGCCGGTAGTTTCACTTTAGGCCACCTAAGTGCATCGTCAGACATCCACTCTACCTAACTACCCATTTGTTTGGTCG